ATAAAACAAAAAAAAAAAACAACTCCTAATCATTGTGGGTGTAGTCGGTGGATATACCGCTTCCCCTTCCCCTGAATCTAGGGTGGGAGTCCAGCAACATACTGAAATGTTGGCTTCCGTCCGACACAATGATACAGTCATCCTGAGATTTGTTGAGATATAGCATTCCTCTCTTTTTCTTCCTAGATTTGTAAACTTGTCAATCATCTGTTAGAGGTAATCTCATGTGAACAATAGGTGGATCTTCGATGGAGATAAGCTGTTAGTCTGACTCAGCCTGTAGCACACCTTGATCCTGACACTCCTTCATAACTTGAGTACCCTCTTCTCTCGCAATAGGTGGTTGCTACATATATATATATGTATATATATATATACATATATATATATGTAGCAACCACCTATTGCGAGATGTATATATATGTATTTATATATGTATATATAGCAGCAAATTAAAATTACAAACTAAATATGAAATAGAATGACTCATTTGTGCTTTGATAGATTTTATTAGATTATGAAATGAAACTGCGAGAAAGATTTCCTCCATCCAGCCGTCAGTTCCCGCCTTCATAATTTGAAGCCCACAATCAAAGCTCAATCAAATTGGGGTCCTGATAATGCTATGACTCAGTTTGAGAATATAATTGAAACTCAAGATAAGAATGTAATGCTTGCAGGTGAAGATGATGAAGATGGTGAGCAGCATGAAGAATTTAATGGGTACAGGACTCGGTAGAAATTGTTGCTGCATTCAAATTTGATGAGGATCAGGTTCAGGTTCAGAAAGATGCTATGAGCAAATGCGCCAAGATTAATCCCCAATAAATTGATTATTTGCTAAATACTTCGGCTGGGTTGCCATCACTAACTGGAATTAGAAGACCTTTGTTAATACAGACTTAGGGTTTGGATCTTCTATTTTCCAGTGCAGACAAGACAACGCTTATGTTCGTGGTTTAGATTTCGATGATTTTGAGCATCAACCTCAAATTCCTCCTAGGATAAAATCTGCAGGCAGTAATCCTTCAGTAGATGAGGGAGTTTTTAATAAAAATTTTATCGAATGAAATTGAATAAGGAAAAGATAGTTGCTCCTCAAACAAGGCATACAAGATCTAATGTTAAAAAAAATAAAAAAAATAAAAAAAATAAAGAACTTATAACAGCTATGGTACAAAATATCAGATATACTTCCAACACAACAACTAACTGAAGACTTAAAAAACTTTCCCGCATGGTTCAATCAAACAAATATTTCCTTTTTATAGAATTATGGGATTTTACTGTATGATGGCAAATAGATCCAATAAAATTCGGTTTTTTCTTTTTTTTTTCAGAAAAGAAGCATTTAACTTTGCAGGGGAAGCCAATACCAATCAGCTACTACATGCAGAACTTTCAATTTGGAGAAGAAAGCTCGGTTCACTTTAGTATATGAAAGCTGTTTTAAATCAAACGAAGAGAGCTGAAGAACGACCTTAGCTAGGTACATATGATCAACCCCGGATGATTGTACCCTTGTTTTAACATCATACTCTACATTCAGGAGAGAAAAGAGGGTTGCAAACCTTACTTCAACCTCATGGAGAAGGTTGTTGATGCAATATAGATTGTGGATTAATTGGCACGTGTTTGAGTGATTCTAATTTTTTTAAACAAAAGAAGGAAAACTCTGGAGGAGTGGTGTATTTATTAGCATGGTTGTAGAAATCTGTGCATAGTAAAGTCAGACAACTCCACAGAGCTAGCATCAGACCATGCACCGTTGTTGATTCAAGTTTGAAGAATAACTCTTTTTGGCCCAATCCCTTTTTCTAAGTTTACAGTACCATAAATGTATTAGCCAAAGTTTGGTAGAGCACAAACATTTAAATTTTACGGGATGCCAAATTGAAGTGCAATAAAAGAGGGGAGAGAAAAAGATATTTGTTGGTAACTGGGCACAGGAAACCATTATTTTGGCAAAATTTATGGTTTATTACTCAATTTACGACCATATTTGTGCATAAATCTTCAAAACTATCCTAGAAAACAGCTAAAGCATATGAAACAATTTCTAATCACCTTCTTGGACAGGCTCTGCATGTCCTCCTAAAAGCAGACAGCAATTTATCTGGCACAGAAGTATATTCCCCTGATGGTACCTTCTGTTGAAGGTTCTTCGTGGTACAATCCTTGATGAAAGGTGAAAGAAATTTGAACATTATATGGCATCTAGGCGTCAATGTGGTGACTGTGTAGCAACAATTAAGCAAGTTCTCCGAAAAGCTCGGCATCCAAGCCTGTTCAGAAATTCTCGGTTTCTTTGTTTTAGTTGCAGTTGCCATATCGGAATCCACGATATTTTTTAACTGGGTGGAAGAGTTTGGATGACGGCATTAGCAAAAGATATATTAGATTAACAACCCCAAATCTAGAATAGCTTGCACATGGACTACAAGGGACAGATTTAGGGAAGGGTCCTTTTAAGCAAAACTCTTTGCTTTGGTTCATTACTTGGAATTTCATTTAATTTTGCAGAGCATTAAATTTACGGGTTTATGTGGAAAAAATAAACATTAAAGTGATTAGCCCTTTGCATATTGACAGTCAGTCAGGCTGGCCTCTAGCCGAAGAGATAAGCTAGACATCAACAATGCTTGTTTCAATTCAGAGATGGGAATAGTTTGGCGTGATCAGCTTGCCAATGGAAGTGGTACTCTGAATAGCATGAAATTACAGAGAGCTGACGATGCTTATGGACTGATAAACCGAGCAATAGGATTCGATGAGTTGGGATTTCCTTACTTCAGAAGGGAAAGTGTGAAAAAATATTATTTAGCATTATCTAATAAGCTGTTATTGCTCTTACTTGCAATTATTATTTTGGTCTTGACATAAATAATTAGTAGTCGGCCATTAAGGCACATTTAGAGGCTTTTGATCATTAATTGAATGGTCAAATGAACTCCAAATTTGACATATTTATAATCAAATCAAGTGTCTCGAGGAGAGAAATCTAACGAGCCTCAGATCACTAAATTCTAAGGTCATTAAAGCCCTCAAATCATTAAAAAAAAATCCTATGATCAATGGGGGGTCAATATGAACCGTCCCATTAAGTGGTCGACAAATTTATTCGCCATAAAAATAAAATGACCCTCTAAAAAGTTTATAAACAGACCCCCTCTCCTCACTTGGAGGTGACGGGAGGAAAAAGAGGAATTCTAGATAGAAATAAGACCTGACGATAACCACCGACCTCCGTAGTCGTGGATCACCTCACGTCAGCCACCATCGACCATGGTCAAATGTCACCGCTAACCATTAGCGACCACACGCAGTCGGCGACACTTGTTTAAAAATATCGTAGTCTGGATACAATCGTTATGGCTAACACTTGTAATGAAGACCCGATGATAACCACAAACCTTGGTAGTCGCCGAACACCATCTAACACCGCTCGTCGGCCACTGCCAGCAACTATCGGTTGTCACGGTAGGTCGCCGGCCACCAACAACCACTATTTACAACTATTACAATCAAAATATGGCCTTTGGAACCGGGCAACTTTATTACATGAACCAACTACATTCATTACGAGCAACTACTACTGTTACTTCTTCTAACTACGACCCTCATGGCCAACTGCTGTTATTGCAGCAACCAACTACAGCCATTGTGCAATGGTCGGATACTATTGATACAGCTTCCAACTACGTCCTATGTCACCAATCATCACAATTAGGACCACTGACTACAACCTTTATGACCAACAATTATTGTTATTGCAACAACTAAATACTACTATTACAATTTTTAACTACGATCTTTATGGCTAACTACAGCTATTGTAACCACCGACTTAAAATTTTATGGGCAACTACTACCCAACTACGGCCTTCGTGGGTGAATACCACTATTACAGCTTCCAACTACGGCCTCTGTGGCCAACTTCCGCTATTGCGACCACCGCCTACAACCTTCACGGCCAACTACTGTCTTTGTAGCAACAAACAATGGCATTTGTAGCCAACTACTACTGGTAAACTTTTCAACTACGACCACTATGGCCAATTTGCTGCTATTGCGATCACCGACTAAAAACTTCATCGCAACCTATTATCATTGTAGCAATTAACTATAGTCTTTTTGATTGACTACTACTGCAGCTTTTGTGGTCAACTGCCGCTATTGCAATCACCGACTACAACTTTATGGCCAACTATTGTCTTTGTAACAACCAAATACGGTCTTTGTGGTCAAATACACTGTGTTACAACTTCCAACTACAGCCTTTGTAGCAACTATTACTATTTTAGTCATCACCTAAGATTTTGAGACCAATTATAGCTATTATAACCAATAACTAAATTTTTTGTAGCTCAATTATGGCCATTATAGCTACATTACTTATGTACATCAATGATTATCAACTTTCTAACTTCATCTTCTCTAATTCAGAAGAAGAGTGGACCTATGTACTTACAATTATATAGTGGATTACTTTGATTCGGCTAGGCTCTTTGATTTTTCCCTTCTCTGCTCTTTAATTTTTTCCACGTAAAAATTTTGGTGTTTCTTGTGCTCTTTTATGTGTGTGTGTTGGATCTCTGTGCAATGCAAAGACAATAAATAATCAATTTTTCGACACGCAACAAGTATCATTTCCAAGCAATTTAATATTCATCAATAATTATTTTCATGATGAAGATATCGCATCTTGATCATCTTAGTAATTTAGTACCTACCTAAGATGGGGTGGACACCTTCATGATACCAAGAGAAGCCTTCCACTTACAGCACAAAAGTGTTAGATTAACCTATATAATTTAATGATTAAAACATATCAAGTATGAATTCAGAAAAAAAACCAAAGAGAAAGATGAAGCATCCACAAAAAAAGTATAACAAAAATGAAACCAACAAGCTAGAAAGTTAGATAGGGGAAAAGTGGTTCAAATAATTGATTGCGGGTTGGTAAATTCAAAGCATTCAAGCAAAAAACACGGTTCTACCTTATGTCCATCTTTGTGTCCTCACACCCAAGCATGCAAATATATCGGCTAGGACAATGATTTAAGCAGAATAAGGAAGTCGTCCATCTCATAGCACAAAATCGTACCTCGCTTTGCTCCTTCAAAGTGTTAAGATAAAAAAATTTTAGTAAAGACATCAATGCATTAAATGTAAAAATATATCTTATGCAAGTTTTCAAAGAGATCATAAATATAGCAAACACAATAAATGATCATCATCTTCTCCTTCATCGTCAACATCATTAGTCATATTACAACTATTTAGAGTTAACACGATGAATTCTTACTTTTCATTCGGTCATGTTCAGCCATTTCTTGAAATGTTATGACTCATGCTTCGCAAAATATTCTAAGCCAGTTGTATCAATATTAAGTGCACCTTCTTTCTTTGCTCATCCTAACTCTAAGCCACTAATTCTATCAACCTCGTCTATTGGATGCATTTTATATCCTTTACTGTACAAAGATGCAGACCACCTGAATCTATTTTCAGCTACCATATCTTCAATATATATTACTCCAAACATCAATCTATAGTACTTAGTCTTTGTCGTTCACAATTTATTATGCATTGATCATAACAGTTTTTAAGTCTACCATGCACAATGAAGTATCAAGTATCAACAGCTATTTTACTGCCCAATGTTTGAATTGATAAAACATTGCCAGTCTAATCACAAAACTATTAAACTTACTTTAACTTTCACCCTTCACTTTATTAACTCCAGATCCCTCACATTTAAAGCTTTAACTCCTATTTCGACAAAAAATTAATTAATTAAAAGTATATGATCTAAAAAAATCTCACTTTGGATATCCCTTACAAGCATTTTAATAAATGCAAAGACTCGTGAACTCAATGTTCGTCATTTATGTAATTCTATTATAAGTCAAAACACTTGGTTTATTCCATAATTATTTCAAATTGTTGGTATATTTTCATAAATATTTTTAATAACTTCAATATATATTAGGCATACAACTTTCCTACTTTTAATGGAAAACAAATCAATTTTTGTCATATTCTATGACATGGCCTCACAATAACAAAAAAAGCATAGAAAATTCTTCCCCTCCTTGCTACACTTTTCTATTAATTGCCTTTGCATAAATATCACCTTCATAAGAGGTATTTCGAGTATAAAACCAAAATTGTAATTAAAAAATTTTCATAATATCTCAAGTTCATATTCCATTAGTCTCTCCTATAGCTTTATTATATAACTCAAAAGATATATTATTCTATAATCACCAAATCTAATGTTTTCTCTGAATTACAAATTTTTAGTTATCATAATGCTTCTTTTTTAATCAGTGGGCATCCCCTTAGATGTGATAATATCATTCAAAAGTGTTGTGGAACAACCCATTGCAATGTCCAGAATAACTCTCTAAATCTCAACCAGTATCTTCTACAAACCTAATTTTTTACCTGAAGCAACTTCTTTAAAGCCAAATTCATTTAACCTTATTCAATAAATACATATTATACCTCATTTTTTCTAAATAATATTTTCCAAACTAATTTTTTTACTTAGATTTTTCATCTACAATTTGCAAAAATAACATTTTCACCTTTTCATAATGTCTACTCTTTAATTAAGATATTACTTTCTTCTAAAACATCTAACTTGATCAAATTCCCTAGATTTCTTATATATTTCATGAACTATTTTATAAATTATCTTTTCTCCCAAGTAACAAATGTCACATAAATCATTAAAAGTTGCAGCTTTTTCTTTGCTTAGTACCCTCTTTGCAAAACTTTTGTCCATAATATAGTCATTATAAGTCTCAATATTATTTATCTTTTTCACTCTTTAAAAACAATTGTTTCCTTGATAAATCAATTTATATCATCTCACTCTACCACTAAGAGTCCCTTACTATTTATTTCTCAGCTATTCAAAATATCCTCATTAAAACGAAACATCTTATCTTGTATCAACTTTAGCAAAAAGAAAGATATTCTAATTGGATGTCTAGCAATTTATCTTGAAAATTTAATGATTTTTTTTTTACCTTGTACATTCCACCATATTATCAAAGAGCAATTTTTTATGATCATTATCTTTACATTACTAAAGTATACATCTATAACTTCTACTATATGCTCAAGTTGTCAGCAAGTAAGATCCATACCAGATTAAAAAAAATATACATCGAAATTATCATAGAAATAAATCAAAACCGTACTAACAATTCATGACTTAAAAAGTGCTTGGAGTGACCCAAAAAATAAGTTTAGTTTAAGTCCAAGTGTCAGCTAAAACTAATTAGATAGGTTAATTTTATCAATTACTATATATCTAATAATATTAAAATTTTATTCAAATTAAATATTTTAACATTTTGCTTGATTAATTATATATTAAAACATAGACAAGACATTAACACATAATATTACTTCATTCCTACAAGTTCAGCATTCTAGTACCTTTTATTTTTACCAATTAAGTGCAGTAATATATATATATTGAAAGCTCAAAAAGGCTAATATGTTAAGTAGAAAGAAAGATACAGATACAAAGTGTGGAAGGGCCCAATCATGGCACCCTACCCACTAAAAAATCACAAATTGTTCCAAAACTAGAAAAAACATAAAAATACATTAGATGACATTAGATGTACATTAGATGCTTAAATAAAAAACCTAACAGTGTCAAAATACATAGTATCAGGTGGCTAGAGAGCGACCCAATTTGGTTTTGCCTCTACCTCTAGTTCTAGGAAAGGAACAAGCTAATAAGCTAGTAAGATGATAGTCATTGCCAGAAGTAACCAATGTATCATCCAATATGTTCCCGAATTAGAGTCTGCCTCCATTCTTCTTCTTCCTCCTGGAATAGACCTGTCATTCCTCCTCTGAAGAATCAGTCTGATAAGGTGTTAGAGCTGAAGCAGAAGAAATATCAACCATAGTACCCACAATAGGTTCTAATATATGTGAAGTATGAGTTGTCTCTATATTGGATACTTCCTGAAGAAGTGGAACTACAAGGCCTTGCTGATTATCAGTCTGAACACTATCATTTGTAGGTAATAGTCCATCAGTATAGTTTTCTATGAGGTTTGAAGTTGTCAACATCACATCACTCGCAATAACAGTAACAGCAGGGGCAATAGAATCAGATACCAAATTTGTCCTGTGGTAGCTTTCTCTCCAGTAGTAAAGATACATCCTTAGATCTATCCTTATTTACTTGATCTTTAGATTTAACAGATTTTAAATTAGGGTGAAGCTTATGGCATTTATCAAGAGTATGCCCAACAAACTTACAATGAGAACAATAAGAAGGTTTATGCTCCATGACGATTTGTTGCCAATATCCATTATGCGTTGTGTCCAACAAGACTTCAGTAATATCAGCTAAAATAATATCTCTTTCCACGAGTATTTTGGCCACAGAAGGTCTGGTAAGATTGAAAGTGGGTAGATCTAGCTTCACAGGGTCCCCAAATATGGCACCAATAGAGTAAAGAACCTGATGATGCAAAAAGTGCAGCTTGAGACCAGGTAGACTAAACCATACCGGTACAGTAGGAAGATCATGATTGGGGTCAAAATCAGGAGGCCACTTGAGTAGCTTCATTGGTTTACCAACAATGTTAAGATATTTTTTGGAGAAAATACGAGTGTAGTCTTCAGGCACGGTTAACTGAATCAATACATGTCTCGCATCCATGAGCCCCACTTTCCACTTTCCTGCTAATTTGAGGTCATCAAAATTTTTCCTGATAACTTCCATAGCTAAGTGTCCCCAATGAAATTTCCCAATGAGAGCAAATTTGAATTCGTCAGTCAGGGTTAAAATTTCTTACTCAGATAAAAAGAGTGTTGTCTTCTCACTCTTTCTTCTTGCATTCTTAATAAAGGGGCAGTCACCTGTACTATCACGATTCTCCTTATAACTTGAGGGGAAGACAACCGTCGTCTCCCCCTGAGGATTACCCACAACGTGGGCAAAAGAAGTTTTTTCGGGTTCAACCGAAGGAGGAAGCTCCATCGCAGCAAGTCACAGCAAGGAGAAGAGCTGCAAGTCGGACAGAAGAGGTCGGGGGCGAAGCTGCGCAGAAGAGAGGAACCGCAAACAGTAACCGCAGATGACGACTGCGCAGAACGAAATCGGAGCTCGACAGAGTCTAAATCACAACAAGACCACGCGCATAAAGGAACAGCGGCGCGAAGACGCCGCAAAAGCGAAGGTCCAAATGTTGTTCACCGTCGTTGTCGTCGAGTGCAAAGGCAAAGACAACAAACGCAAAGGCACATAAAGGTCCAAAAGATGACGAACGAAAGGCAAAGTCGGTTGTCGTCGTCGAGTGCGAAAATAACGTCTTCAAAGATGATGGATTGAAAGCCGAAGGAATCAAACCAGAGTTTCGCCATCGGGCGAAACCCTAGCAGAGCAGATCGCCACCGACGCCATTGAGATGAAGTATCCGGCGCAGAGGCAACTCATACTTCACAC